TCATCCAGGCCGCAGTCAGTGAGGGCGTAGGCAGAAACAAAGAAAAGGCAACGACGTGTGTCTCTATCCTTCCGAGTTCTTACGGAGCCGTTTAGCCGAACAGCACATAGACGACTATTAACGGGGATCTACTCTAATAGTGCTTGTTCCGTCCTCGTATTTAGTATCTTGTATGCGTGTTTCGGAAACAAAACATATATCAATAGTACGAGATTCAAGGGTTTTAGCCAGGGAGCCCTGCTGGCCGATTTGACCTGGGCTGTGTACGTTGAAGGCTGCAATGTGTAGTTTGGAGCGAGATTTCAGTAGACCTGGGACAATGTTTTGCGCACTAGAATCGTTGGCTATGGTGACACTTCAGGAGGAAGCCGAAAGAGGAAGTTTAGTGTTGAAAGTCGGTGTAGGAGGAATAATAGGAATTGAAGAGGGAGGTTGATTATGGATACAGTGGTCTTGAGTGCTGTTAGAGGTATGAAGGCGGTTTTCACTTCCCGGTTGCCCACACCGTGGGAGGGTTCTTCTAGAGGTACCTGAAAGGGAAATTGGGCATGAGGTGGTTTTAATGACCTGAGAGTGTGACCACAGTGCCCAAAAGATAACTGCTTAAGGTTTGCCACATACGACCTTTTTGTGGGAAATTTTCGTTTTAGCTCCGTACTTGTTGAGACCTTACCGCCGGGGAAGAGGATCCATGAGATAAGGTGAGCTGTGCATTTTTAGGGTCGACCTTTTTCAACGCCAGCATCGCTACAGATGCTGATTGTCTGAGGGAAACACCTTACTGTCGTCACACTTCTGTACAGTCAGCAGTAGGACTCCGCCTTCGGACCTTGGGTTTGCTGCTGTTAGTTTTACCGTTCTTCAACCGACGTGTCTGGTACAGTAGGACCTTATAGAACGATTGTTCCAGCTAGTATAGCTCGATTGGTTCATCACGATAGGCAAGCCCAACCACCACGTCAAGGTGGCAACAACGGTCGGGTATCATCCCAAGATCCTCATGAGACTGGACTACGGGTTCTAGCTCTTCCTATATGTTGTACGTATTTGTCTTTGCATCCCCAATATGCATATTGGCCCATTTGGCCGCGTCGATAGGCATTATGCATATTTTAAATCGGCTAATCAAAACATCTAAGTGTGCCTGAAGTGCACATGCATCTGTGTCTCCTGTTATTTCTCGCCGGATGTTTACATCATCAGTATATAATAGCAGTGAGGACTCAACTATACTTGTGTTAGCGGGACATAGACTAGATTAAAACATGCTCAATGCATGATTGCTTTGGTGCACGCTGATTGGCTAATTCTTATCCAATCAGCACTAGTCGATAGTTGGAGAATACTCTGAAATCTTCTTATGTAAAAACTATAAATATACTGACGTTTTCCCTATTGTACTTCTGGCTTGCATCTTGCCTCCATCTAACTTTGTTATTTGGAATATAATCTCTTTCCTGTTCAACCGTGTTCTGATTTGGGGTTTTGTCGAATGAATCGGTGTCCAAGAGTACTAAGCAATAGGAATACCTGGGTCATAACCGTAAGTAAGAAGAAAGAGATTATAACAACTTGGAAGTCCATTTGCATACAGTATAGAAATAAAGGACCTAGGACAGTCTTGTGGTACTCAACGAAGGACTGGTTTATGGTTGGAGCACTAGGAATTTATCTTTACTTTCTATCTACGACTTACCAAGAAATTGTTGATTCATTATAGGAGAAGTTTAGCAACCTCTAGATTTTCCAGCTTCAAGAGAAGTCTGTTATTTAGCATCTTACCAAATGCTTTGCTAAAGTCTATTTACACAATATCCACTGATTTTCCATTATCTAAATCTTCTACCCATTGCTCTCTTACTATAAGGAGATTTATTATGCGAGATAGTCCTTTCCTGAAGCCATATTGTTCGCTGTTCAACAAGTTGTTGGTCTCCACGGATGTCATTATTGCCTTTTTGGTTATTTCCAGTATTTTAACTACGTCACTGGTGATGCTCAAAGGTCTGTAGTTTGATGGGAGTTATTTTGATCCTATTTTATGTATTATGGTGACAATTTCATCCTTCCAGTCCGTAGGTAACTCACCTTGGCCGAGTAACATATTGAATGTCGTAGTCATTAGGGCAATAATATATCGTGCTATTTGTCTCAAGATTTTAGGGTGTAATTCATCCGGTCCTGTTGATTTTTCCATGTCTGAAGTGCTAAGGGCTTTTAGTATATCGTCTCAAACGAAGTCCACAGTGAGCCCATTTTGTGACTTTGTATTTTGGTCTAGTTTGTCGTCTGGAAGAGGCTCTTGAGTGAAAACTGTACCAAAATGGTTTGCCATAGCTTCTGCTTTGTCCTGATCATCCTCTATTATTTGAGATCCACTCCCGTAATTAGGTTGATAATCTAGCACTCTGTTATTTTTCTTCAATTTATATACGAGAACAGTCTCTTCGGCTGCTTGATTACAAACTGGGCCGACTGCTTTTCATATTTCCTCTGAGCTGTCCGGATTGTATTTGTACACTTATTTCGTGCTGACCTGTAGCGTTCCATCGTACTTGTTGTGTCGAAGTTGATGGCAACGTTTCAACATTTCTTCTTTTGTCTTGGCAAACGTCGAATATTCTGGTCTTTACAGGGATGATCGTGCTTCTTCTTTTTTTGCTACTGTCCAGAGTATAAATGGTTAAGTCATTTGATTGTATAATTGCCAGTAATTTGTCCATGCCTCTTCTACTGACGCCTCTGAGTCAATTATTCAGCCGATACTACAGAGTTGATCGCCTTCATATCTACGTTCCATATGTAAGGACGTGTCAGCGCAACTGCATGACAGGCCATCTCAGCCATGAGCTTGAGTAAGATGACCACATGACCACTTCTCCCTAGAGGTGGGAGGAAGGTTACTTGACAGTCATCATCACCGTGCGTGAAGACTTAATCCAAGAGAGACGAATTTTTTAGGTCACCTCCAATGTTCTGGAATAAAGCTAGGGTGATTGTGATTTCTAACAGCTTGTAATCAAACAATGTTTTTGATGGCCCTACTTCTAAGTTTCCGCAATTTACATACGGTGCGTCAAATTCACCTACTATGGGGCCTTTACAACTGTTTGACCAGGATTTAAGTTTACTTAGGAGAAGCGCACCAGTTAACATGCCACTAATTTGTGTACCACTGTCCCAACAGCTCATATGGTTAAGGCGCTTTTCGTGTACAGGACAACCCAGCTACCCCAACAGTTTAGTCTATCAGCCCTACAGAGTAAGAAAAATCTAACTGAATTTCAGCTCCATACTCTTCTAACATTAACCATATCTCTGAAACGGTAATGGCACCAGGAATTTCTGTGTTCACCACGTTTTTGAGCTCCACCATTTTATTTAGCAGGCTGTGAGCATTTTTTAGCATACCTTTAATTACGTGAAGAACTTTGCCGTACCACCCATAGTGGTTTGATGATCGTTTCGCTCCGAACGTTTACAATGTACAAACACTTAATTATAGGGTTTTTACACCGTTTCGACGGCGCTCATTTATTTCTACCTCTGACGATCGTCTCAATATGACCAGCCAGGCTGAGATCCTCACAGGCATATATTCGGGATCCAGTCAGTTTGCGTCCCTTTCTTCATCATAAGCAACTTTTCTGTGTACTTTTATAATCCACTTTTCGTCCTATTCTATGAGCTTAATAATGCTAACTCGTTCTACTATTTCTGGAATTAGATTGCTTATCAAGGACTTAATGTGATCTAGATCGTGTTCAAATACAGCCTTCGGTTCCTCTTGGAAGACTTTCTTAACTTATGAAAAATGACTGATCGCCCAGCGAAATCCGTCTTGTTAAACTGTGAAGTTCTGTTTTCCGAAATCTCATCCTTGTGTTCCAATTTGGCGTCATACGTGCGGATCTCACTCTGTTTCTTTAATTTTCTGGATGTAACCGTAAGCTAATGATTAGCCTTGATCAAATAATCTATACTGATCAGGCTTTGTTCCTGCATAGCCTGTTTTTCGTTGATATGAGAATTCAGAGCTGAAACTGTCGGCTCACATATCTTAGAGCTCCAAATAATTTGTATCTTCTTAGCGTGCTTTTTTCCTAGTAACGATGCCTACATCTGTGTATTTGTTATCCGCTACGTTATGGAGGTCCCCCTGGATGGTTTCATTTACATGCAAAGCTGGACTTATATTAACACTCCGCCTCTTCTTAAACTGACATCTACTCATCTGCTGTTGGCTGTTTATCTGAGGGTATTTTCCTAGCTATGTTCAGCAGTTCAATCACCTCAAGAATCAGCAGAATTTGTAGAGCAGCACGCTTTGCACAGCTAACGTGATATTGGCTTACAACACCTTTTACATGCAGCCGGTGTGAGTTCGGTGAACACATTGTGATACCATTTGTTGAAGTAGTCACAGTGCATTCCATGCTTTACCTGAACACAAAACGCTGAGACTTTTACGTTACTGTAACTGAAAGACCTGACTTAAATAAACATAAAAGAAGCGTTTACACTTTAGGATATAGTCGACGGTTATTGACTGACTGGTTGATTAGGTGGTTGGAGTCAAATATTAGAAAGCCACAGACATATGTTCATGCTATTTGGGACTTTTCAACTAATCATGTCCGTAATATTGGTCGAATAGATACTTTCCAATGTATAAGTGCTAAAATGTTTAAAACTGATAAATATGGGAATAATAAGAAATAGGGACCGTAATTTATATATTTCAAGAAACCTGATGATTCACCATGCCTAAAAAAGATCAGCTCAGTATTTAAGTATTTAGCAATATGGGCTACCTAAATCCTAACCAAAACTACCCTTCTCAGCTTCCCATGAGATAAATTATTTATTAGTATTAATTGTATCCTGATTGGCTTGAAACCGGCTTCACATTTTTATGATTGTTTTTAGCGTCTTCAAAGGAGTTATCAAACTATTTTTACTAAGAAAATGTCCAATATTACATTCTCTTATTCTTTTAGACATAGATAGGAAGGAATTTTTATTTGAAAATCCTGTTAATGATATACCTATGGACGTAAGACGAGTGAAACTGATCAGCCAATCAGAATGGAAACGTTTAAAAAACAAACTGGATAGTAATTTGAATGAAACTTCTAGAATAGAAGAGAAGTTACAGATTGAAAAAATTAAAACACAGTCAAGAGAAATGGTCAAAAAATGGACAAATACACTTTTGGTATGCTCATTTGTTTATTTTAGTAGGCATTTTGTTTCTTATCACTTAAGTATATTGAAAAGGATAATGGTGAAGCGTATTTTATCATCACACCGAGATTGATTTTGTGACTAGTAAATGTTTTGTGGTCAGACTAAATTCTATACTTTGTCCACACTAACGCTGGAGATATACGCATTTTGGCCTAATATAACGAGTGAAAGTGTAATGAGGTGAATGTGGCTAAAATTTTATTGGTTGGTTTGTTCTGGAGAGCGATCGTTTTCTCGTGCGTGACCTATTTGGTGATCATCTTTGTAGTCTGTCGTCCTACTTAAAATTCGCCAACATGTAGGATGAAACATCTATCTCTTTCTGTAGCGTATCGACCCTGTGACCTCACGTTGTGTTATATAATTGAGGACTCGTTTGCTTGGTTCTCTCGCATATCCTATCGGCTATTTTTGCAATATTGTCTATATTCAACTGCTAGGATCTTTTGTACATCATAGTGAACTAAAGTTGGTGGTTAGCGACCCTAAAAGGCGGAATAAAAAGATTAAGGGACCTTACAGACGGCGTTTGGAATGGAACTAGCGTATCGTTATATGACGACACGTTTATAAATAGTGAATAGTGTACGTAAAAACGATGTATATGTAAAGGAAAGAAGTCAATAAACGCAAATGAGTATAACAACTGATGCAATGTTATAGCACAGAAAGGATCTACTGAACTACACCAGTGTATGATATGTATCTATAATGTTCTGTATTCCACTGCCAGCCACCATTCTTCTCTGCTTATAAATAGTAGTGAGTTTAGTTTCCATAACCCTTATTCTTCTCGTTTCAAAAGTCATCTCAGTAGGGCGCAATCTACTTGTTTCTTAAGTTAAACTATCCATATCTTAATTTGTCTGGTTCATTATTAGTTTTGAACTCTGAATGTTTCATCAAAATACGTTAAGAAAAAGTTTCGTACTATATCCATAATGAGTTTTAGTCCTATGCTTCGTATATTACTCGTCCTGATAACCATTATTATGTAACTCTAAATGGTAAAAGTTTCCAGAGCACATTACGAAGCGTTGACTGCAGATTATTGTTATACAGTACAGATCCCATTGCCACAAGCACACGAAGCGAACACGAATAGGAACGTGAATAAGAGTGAAGTAATAGGATCGAAGATTCTTATATATATAGGTTTAAGCAACTAGTAATTAATCTAGTAAGACGGATGTGTATGTGGTGTAACATTCTCATACAAACATGACAATAATACAAAATTATAAACAAATTGTTACTGCTCCAACGACACTATCTATTAAATAAGTTAGTTGGACTTACTTAAGCCCTTTGCCCTTAGTTGAACATCAGCCACCGACTAAGAAGAATTATTCTTTCATGATGTGGGCTACCGGGTGCTGACCACCGCCCTCGTACCTCTAATACTTAAAGATGAAATGTCAACACAGGCACATGATATATCTTTGTTCACCCAGCTTATGACATTGTTTAAAGCTTTTTAATGTTCGATCATTACCATATTCTGCGTTAGCTTACTCATTAGGTGAAAACAATAAGTAAAGATCGTGGATGCGCACTGCTGAGGAGTCCCATACTAGGACGAAACGGCCGTCCAGTGCTTCCAGGTTTTCAATGGTGGTCTAGCTTCAACTGACTAATGATTTCAATCTGTGAAATTTCTAAAATCTCCACAAAACCCATTCTGAAAGAATTAATAGTTGGACTATGGGTATTTTCTGACTACCTTTATTATCATTCATCCGGGCGTTCATTATTTATGTTTTTGACTACATTGTAAAGAGGTATGTGAAGGGTTGGAGTGATGAAGATAACGTTTATCTATTATTTACAAGGTATTCGGATAAAATACGCCCGATGAATTAAATGAAGATTTTATCAGTAAAATTAGTCTAGTTACCAAGTTTATAAATTGCTACCAGATTGGTTGTCTAGTGGTTTGCTAATTCACGATTTGCATAAACAAAGACTCCTAATTTACACATATCAACTTCATATCTACAATGGTAGATTAGAGAATCTAAAATAAGTTGACCATAAAATAATATACTTACAGAAAAAACTATCCTAGATTGATAAATTATAAGTACTTTCTAAAAATATTTAAATTTACGGGGTCAATTATATTTTAAGAAGAAGGAATGTTTAAATTACTTGTTTGAGTTTGTACGCCGATTGTAATCAGTATTTCGAAACGTCAGATGACCTGTGGGTTCTCATCTCTGGACATATTATCTAAAAATTACAGAGGCAACTAATTCTAAAGAGACGTGTGTGGTTGACTTCATGCAGTTTCCCATAGAGCAGTGTATTCACAATCTAAAGGTCATCGAGACTACAAGTAGTTCAACTTCTTTACAGATTGGGAAGAATTATTATTTTATGATGTGGGCTACTGGGTGCTGACCACCGCCCTCGTACCTCTAATACGTTTCAGAGTTTATGAATAGATGCTTATTTTTGTTTAACATTATGTGTAGGACTTAATTTGTCCTACAGATATTTTACTAGAACTGTAAACACGATAATGATGACCCCAGAGTCTATGTGAAAGCTATAATCAGAACAAGTGTTGTTATTAAGTAAAATAACAAGGGTCTGCTTCTTTGTTCTTTGTAACAAACTTACTCTAGTTGCGTAATCTTGAAAAAATTTTTCTTCCATTTGAATCAGTTTATTTTCATTGGTTATCGCTTCAATTTCTGCTTTGCGTTCTTTCTTGGCTAGTACTCGTTTTACCATCTGTGTCGCATTTCATAATGAGTAAACATTAATGTATAATTAATTGATAACATTATGTTACTACTTACTTTGAAAAATAAACTCCGCCTGGAGTCCCTCCGGGGGCTACTGCCGGTCCCAAGCCCGGATAAAGGAGAAGGGTTGGGCATGGGGTTAGCGTCCCCAACCCGTAGAAAACTAACTCGCTAAAAATACGCTAACCAGAAAAAATTATTCAAACCTTGAAAATAAGTAGTATGAGTTATTAATACAGCGTGTTATAAGTTTTGGTGTTTATTCCAAAATATTAAATCATTAAGTAGTTTAAAATTTTTATTTCTATTAGTATTCTTGGTTTTTGAACAAAATATGCACGGATAACCTCAGTATGAAAAAAGTGATTTTTTAGTGAATTACTCAGACCAAGTGTTCAGTACTACGATTGGGAACTGAAATCAATGTTAAATATTCCTAGTAAACAAGCAATAAAAGCGTTCACGATTAAGCAGAGAGTTCATCTTTGGAAAAATAAGTTTAATACAGCTGGTAATTAATGAGAAATCATTATGAAGCTAAAGATACGATAATCAACCTCAAAATAATAAACAATTGTAATTTGACTGAAATGACACATTACCTACTGATTCACACCTGTCACTTCTAGTGGAACATCGGCCACCAACAAGGAATATCTAAACAAACTTGACCTGGTCTCTCCTTTCCTGTTGTTTCCAGTCACTATTCATTCTTCTGATGTTTGCTTCCAATTCTCTGCGCAATGTGTTCTTTATTCTTTCACTTTGCAATCCGTCTTCACGATTCCAAGTTGGCGCTTGCCTCGTGATGCAGTTTGACGATTTTTGCAGTCAGTCAGTTAGTCAGTAACAGCGTAGAACTTCGTACGTGCGTACAGCAGTTCGAGTTGCCACACCACCTTAGCACAGAGATGCAGTTGTCGATTCAAATCCCGTAGTGGTAGAGGTAGCAAGAGTATAAGCAGTAATAGGGAAGATTAGGGTTTGGAGATGTTATTTAAAGAGTATAATCCAGTGAAATAAATTTGGAAAGAGGAAAAAAGGAACATGGAGAATTCAGAAGATTAGAATCTGGGAGAACACAAAGAGTGGATGCACCTGCGCCATTGCAAACGATTTTGAGCCATGTCATTCAGGGTCTCTAACCATCGGTTGCTATCGTCTTGCGGATCCCAACCAGGTAGTCTACACCTACCAACATGACTCAGTCCACTTGTCAGTGACTTCATGGACTTGAGCCATGTTTTGGTCTGGCCACCCCTAGCTTTCTTCCAACCTACTCCTATACCAGTGAACATCGCACGTCGAAGCAATTTATGAGGTATCTACCTCCAGTGTCTTCCTAATTTCATTCTTATTTGGAAGTCGTTTTGTTCCTCCTCCTTCTTTGTTTTGAAGAATGTTGTGATGGTTCTGGATCCATGAGATTCCCATCCTATAAGTGCTTTAAGTTCTTCTTTAGACTGTATCGGTGCAACTCACAGAGTGTGCGGAGCATTTTCTTCTTCGTGACCAGAGTACGGCAGCATCTCTCTCGTATCTAACCTTTTTTATCTAGCTTTGGTTCAATAGGTTTTACTGATTCCGAAATCCGCCAAGTTGTATCTCCTTGTTCCCGTAACTATTTGACCAGTCCTTCCGATCTCCCACATTGTCCGAACATCCTATGTATCTATATTAACTGTTGCTCTGTTTGTTAGAAGGGGAATCTGCTAGGTTTGAAGCGATTACGAGTTCACTTAGACTGCGAACGGAACAAAGACTTGCGACCAAAGATCAAATAACTAGCTGTTCTATTGCGTCCTAGCCCCGCTAACTAGAAAGAGAAGTCAAAGTCCGAACGGGGAAGTATATTCCGCAAAATCCCAGAAGCACGAGCGATCACAACAGACACAGATCAAAGCGTAAATATACAGTACAAAACCGTCCTCAACAAGCGTTACAAAATAGCATACTAAAAGACACAACGGACCAATAGCGTTTAAAATTCTCACTGGTGGGAAATACGACATGAAGGTGAAAAGAGAGCTTTTGGCGCGGAAACAACCAAATTCAAATTTTCTAAATAAAATTACAAAATTAGGTCTTTTCCCAGTGAGTTCTGGTGACCTAACGTTCCCAAGAGAATCGACCTCGTGACTTCCGAAGAATCTCGGCTCTCACCATGAGGCGTCATAATTCCTCTAAAAGAAGGTCCTTCAAAACCAGGACAGAGTTTGAATGGTTTAAATGATTTTTTTCTGAATGGTGTTTTTTAGTAGGGTTGTTTTCTACGCGATGAGGTTGCTGACCCCATGCCCAACCCTCCCCCTTTACCGGTGCCTGGGACCTTTAGCAACCCTATAAGACCTACAATGGGAGTTAATTTAATTGAAAGGCTTACCAAAATCAAATGTATAGAAGCACAACTTTAAGCGAGTTGCTATAGATCAATCTTTTCAAAATTACAGGAATATTTTAATTTCTCCCCCATAATTTGATTTTTATTACCGTTTTTTCTAAAAAAAATTAATTAATCTAATAAAATAATCAGGGATCAAGAGAAAAGAAGCTTGAAGATCGTTCTAATCGTTTGGCCGATGAGGAAAAAGGTAGAATGGCCATCGATCGTAAAGAGGAGAAATTCCAAGTGGAACAAAGAAAGAAAGCTGTCGATAAAGCGAAGCAGCAATTATATTACGAAACGGATCGTGTTCGATCATTACATGTAAATTCATATTATAACGTATTAATCCTAACAATGATTATCGTAATATCAAAACTAAAATTCACGAGCGAAATTACGCAACTCTTAAACTAAATGTGAGAACGTTTTACCATATCCCAATGATTAGTTTGTAATAGAGAAAATAACAACAAACAAAACATCAGTTTTTTGTTAACATTTCAACGTTCTTGTGGTTTACATTCAAACAAAGCAACGCTGTTGATTTTCATATATTAGGCTAAAATGTATTCCTCCACGAATACCCTTATATTGATGAAGAGAATTATTAATTCATTTCTTTATTGCTTTTATGGACTAATCCTAATGATGATGCTAAACTTTAATTATCATCCTAACTAGCTACATTTCTGTTATATTCATTATCTTTATTCTCGATAACCGAGGACAAATGAATTAAGTGCCAGAATACAAATGTTTCTTAACGTATATTTAAGTAATAGAATTAACCAGCATATACGTTATCTTAAACAAACATAGTCTAATAGGAGTGAGTGGACACAACTGCATTGAAATAATAGTAGTATTGGAATAACAGAAAAACTGAGCCTATTTGTGATTGAATTAGATTTATGTTAACATTGGCACTTGGAATGGAGATAACACTGGAAATAGGATATCCAACAATCGTATTGTTGTAAGATAAATCCAATACTGCATTAGACTGATTCAGTTTGCATTGTATTGAGACGAATTCAAACTGTCCAGAATGTTAATCAGTCAGTATGCCTGAAATGTTCATGCGTCAATATAATAGTGAAATATGATTGGTCTATAAACAGATAGATAGACAGACAGACAACCAAGCAAATGAATATTGGAGGGATTCATGTGTAAGGCATTCTGATTAATCACAACTGAGCACATGTTAACCGATAAAGTTGCATTCAACAGTTAGATATCGTCTTCCAAAGTGAGTGTACGATATTTGCATTTAACGTGTCTATTAAATATCATCATTTCTTCATCGTAAACTCAGAATGGTTTTGAAAAATAACCGGCTTCCTGTTTTTACGTTATATTTTCGTCAAAATTAGTATGCATGCGATCGACAGAGTAACAGCTTGTTTGAACCATTTACCATGATCTTGAAGTCACATTTTCTTATCTTACTTTCTTATCCCCATACTTTGGCCCAGCCATATTAGTGGTTATCAGAAATTGTTTGAAATCATCTCCGTACTTATTAATTTCATTGACTCATTTCTCACTATTTTTAAGATTTTGTTTTCCTGTGCCTATTTGTTGTTTATGGCTTCTGTCTATAGTCAGGCTTAAACCTAACAGAAACTTTGAAAGAACGTGATATGCAACTGAGATTTAAACATTTCAAAAATAAATCAGAAGTGAACAAAGGAAAAGTATATCTCGAAACGATGCGGAAAAGTATTGAAGGAGGTAAATTTTGAAAACAATACATAAATAGAGTGAAAATATTTATATATTTATTTTTCATAGTTTATATAGCTGACTGATCTTCATTAGAACACCACTGTGAACCAGGAAAACTAGACAGCTATTTCGTCCTAGTACGACAGTGTGTTGCGGACCTCTAAAAGAACTCTATGAAGATGTGACAATATGCAAGAAAAATAATAATATACCAAAACAGATATTGATACCATAAACCGGAATGCCTATATATAGATAAAAAACGATGGAACGATAACACTTGAAACAATATTGTAAATTGAATGACAAAATAGTACCAACAGTTTTGTGATGAATGTTACTTTTAAGCTCCTGAGTAACCACCACAAATAGATTCCACTCGATTATCAAATGCTCTTTTGCACTAAGATGGTGGCTGGGGTTAGTCAGCAAGAAATCCTGGATCTAGGTTTCGTGCTACTTGGCACTTGTCAGCAAGGTGTATCTGTAATCTTGAGGGAACTGGTGCTCCCTGACGGATTCGACCTCATGTCACACAGCTTCACAGTCAGAGACGTTATCACTGGGCTATCCAGGCTGTGACTGACCTCTTGTTGGACTGAGAAGCATTTACATTTTAACTTAATCGATAGGATTCGATCTGCACTAAGAAGGACCTGACATACATGACATTGATCACCCAGTGATCAATCAATCGTAAATGCTCTTCTGCACTTTTGGCACAGACAGTTCAGAAAATAATATAAATCTGATGGCGTTACTTGGTAATAATCCAGAACAATAGTTCCAAGTAGTGTAGAGCGGTCTAAAAACGATATTACGATTTTATAATCAAATGAGATAAAATGGAGCTGTTAAGATTTTTAAATACACTTTTGCTTAACCACACTGAGAGGTGCTCACGAGCCCAAATATACAAATTTCTAGAACATTTGCCAATATAACTTGCTCTACAGAAGCAGTTCAATTAATAGGTACAGAAAGAAGTGGCTAGTCTAGGTAATTTATCTTTCAACCTTGGAGGGGTTATTGCACATGTGGAAAACATTAATTGTAGTTTACCTACATTACAAAGCGGTGCGTCCAAGCACGATTTCCAGGTTTGTGCACCGGTCTATTAGTTTGTCGGCCGTATACATCTTTCTGGTGTTTATTGAGATTCGGTGTGTTAGTATTTACTGTGTGGTACGCATCTGCGAGATGATTTCGAAGATTATGGATGTACGGTAATTGTTCCTGAGTTTCACACGGTAAATAGGATTTTATTTATTTATTTATTTATTTGAACACATAAATATTGGTACAAGAGAGCGCCAATATATATGCGCCACACAAAACAATGGGATTTCGAAGAGAAGTAGAAAGAAAGAAAAAAAGAAGAAGAAAAAAAAACTAAGGAACGCAAAAGAAAAAGAGAGTAATGACGAAGAGGTACAATCAGAAGAAATCTTTCAGGTAAAGGAGACACAACCACTTTTTATGAAGAAAGTAAAAGAAGGTTACAGCAGGATCGCCACTGGCTTCTATTCTGAGCCATATCTGATAACGTCTCTAGCCACTGTGTTGCACCATCTCTCGGACCCCAACCAGGGAGTCGTGAAGGACCAACACAAGCCAGTCCTTTGCAGCTTTCTTTCATGCCACGACACCATGTCATGCACTGACCACCTCTCCGCTTCTTCCAACCAGTCCCAGAGTCGGCAAATAATGCACGACGTGGAATTCTCTGGGACGACATTCGGAGAACATGTCCAAGCCACCGAAGTCGGTGTTTCAAGATGGTGACACCAATTGAGTTATCATCTCTGTGCCCGAACACACGATGCCGAACCTCTGCATTACTGACATGGTGTTGCCACTGAATGTCAGCAATCCTTCGGAGACAACGATGATCAAACACAGAAAGTCGTCTAACGTCCTCAACTCGGAGAGGCCAGGTTTCACAAGCATAGAGCAAAACTGCTCTCACCGACGCGTTGTAGATCCGGCCTTTTACAGCCAGACTAACATCACGAAGGCGCCAAAGGTGGCCCAGATTGGCATAAGCCGCTCTGGCTTTCACTATACGTGCATTGATCTCATCACTCACACCCCCACCAGCACTTATGATGCTACCCAGATACACGAACTTCTCAACTACGTCTATCTGCTCACCATCCAGGGTGAGTACAGGATTAGAATCCTGCCAGTCTTGTAGAAGTACTTTGCACTTCGAAGGTGCAAAGCACATACCATACCTACGGACACTGATTGCCAACTGATTAAGTGCGGATTGCATGCCTTGGGCATTATCGCACAGTAAGACAATATCGTCCGCATACTCAAGGTCGAGAAGTCTTTCTCCAGGCAACAGATCCACACCACCATTACTTACATTCATCAGAGCTGTTTCCAGAATGTCATCGATGGCAAAGTTGAAGAGGAATGGTGAGATTGGGCAACCCTGCCTAACCCCACTGCTCGAATGGAACAATGGAGAGAGGTGGTTGTATGCCCTCACTCTGCCCGAGGTGTTTGTATATAGGGCCTTTAGGATGTTAATAAACTTCTCAGGCACACCCTTCTTCAATAGACAATCCCAGAGAACAGTCCTATCCAACGAATCGAAGGCAGCCCTGATGTCAAGAAACACTACGATTGTTGGCCTTTGAAAAGTATGGCGGTGTTCTAACATTTGGCGGAGGGTGAAGATATGATCAATACATCCTCGACCAGAACGAAACCCAGCCTGCTCCTCGCGAGTCAATCTTTCTCGGGTTTTGAACAACCTACGAAGAATGACGGAAGCCAATAGCTTGGACGCAATCGGAAGTAAACTTATCCCCCGATAGTTGTTACAAGAACGACGTGAACCCTTTTTAAAGATAGGGACAACTATCGACTCATTCCATGACGTTGGTACACTCTCTAGATCCCAAACCTTTGTAAACAACGTCGTCAATTCCTTAGTCAAAAAGTCACCACCATCTTTAAAAAGAGCCGGAGGTAAGTCATCTGGGCCAGGTGATTTGTAACGCTTCAAGAGTTGGAGTTCCTTGCGGACTTCCTCCTCGTTTGGTGGATCAGTCGTCACCGGCCATGGAGGGCAGGACAGTCTGACCGATGTTGCCGGAGCAGCAGGCCAGTTGAACTGCCCTTCGAAAAATTCTGCCCATCGTCCAAGACGTCGATGGATGTTAGTGATTGGCATCCCATCATCCTCGCAGATTGTTTCACTCACACCAGACTTCTTGCTGCCAGTGGCTCGGATGAGTTGGAAGAGCTTCCGGTGGTTACCAGATGCAGCTGCTGCTTCCAGCTCATTAGCACGCATCGACCACCAGGCTTCTCGGTCCTTACGCAAGCTTTGCCCGATTTCCTTACGTAAAAACCTTCGTTTATGGTCAAACTCACGGTTACCCGGAGTAGACCGACGGGCTTCAATGAGTTGTAAGGAACCAGAAGAAACCCAGTGCTTATAAGCGGGACGTTTCGCAAACCCACAACTGACTGTACCCGCCATTTTCATGGCGTCATGCAATTGCAACCAATGCTCATCTATACTTTTCGGTGGAGTGGTAGCTAGCCTAGAGGCTAGCTCGGTTCGATACTTACTTGCAACAGAAGTTGCAACCAGCTTGCTAACATCAATCCGTTGATGGCGTTCACTTCGTTGTCCACTGAAAAGTAAGGCAAGATTGGCGCAGACCAAGGCATGGTCAGAGTCCAGATAGGTACTCCAAAAGGAGCGGCAGTCTTGTACACAACCACGCCAGCGGTAGCTGATCGCGATGTGATCAATCTGAGTCCAGGCTTGAGATGCAGAGGGAGGACGCCAGGTGGCACATCGGCGATGACTGTGCCGAAAGTTAGTGCTAGCCAGAAACAGGTTGTGGTCTGCGCAAAGTTGCAGTAGACGGTCCCCGTTATCTGTTCTGCGACTAACAAGTCCCCATCAGCCACCTAAACGACCCTCTTCTGTGCCTAGACGCCCGACCTGAGCATTCAAGTCTCCGGCTAGTACTACAATATCTGTCGAACGCACTTTCTGGAGAAGAACAGATATCTGGTGGTAAAACTCATCCTTGATTGCATCCGGGCTGCAATCTGTCGGGGCATAGGCGGAGATGACGAAAAGACATCGTTTCTCACGCCGATTTCTTCTCACTTTGATGGAACTTTCTAATCTAACAGCACATAACCGACTGTTAATGGGGATCCAATCGACTAGTGCTGCCTCAGCTCTAGCGCTTAGTGCGACACCAACGCCAGCAAAACCAGACGAAGATGCCACAGGGTCCCCGGATAAGCGCACGTAAAACAAGCTTTTCGAAGCGACAGATGGAGATCGAATTTGTAGTACTTCGCCAGAGTCTTGAATACGGGTCTCGGATAGACAACACACGTCGATATTAAGACTTTCCAAAGACATAGCCAGCCCTATCTGTTGTCCGACCTGCATAAATGTGCGAACGTTGAAGGCAGCCAGTTTGAATGATGCACGTGGTTTCAGAAAATCTGCTTCAGTCCTCGTATTCGGTGGTAACATACAATTTTCAACCGGACAGTGACTCGAGAACGTTTAGATACAGTCGGAATTCCACCAAAGACGAGCCGCTGTATAAGTATAAAAGAAGGTGAATAATGTGGAAAATAATAATAATAATGATAATAATAACAATAATGACAATAATAGTAGTAATAATAATATTATTATTAATAATGACAATAATTGAAGTGATCATAATTTGAATCAATTGATTGTTTTTCAAAGCGACAAAAGTAGTTTCCATAGACATAAACAGTTCATCATTTGTGTGTGGGCTGTGATACTGCCCGGGTGCCCAAACCGAAGCAGGTGGTTATCTTAGGGGGCCACTCCCCGAGCCTTTGACCTAAAGGTCTAACCCACAAGGCAGTGGAGCATCGTAAGGAGATGCAGTCCCATGGTAGCCGGTGACCAACGATTGGTTCATACGCCATTCGTTCCCGCAGGATACTGGAGCCCATGTGCACCATTGGTTTGG